CTTCTGTAGAAATTTCAACTGTCTCTTCCTGATGTTAAGTATAAGTTTCCTTTTTGTTTCCATTTTCTCTAAAACCTCGTCGTTGCTCACATATTCGGTCCATGGTATCCTCAGCATCCTTCTCTAGAAATTTCACCTGCCATTTCCTGGTGTTAAGTATAAGTTTCCTTTTTGTTTCCATTTTCTCTAAAACCTCGTCGTTGCTCACATGTTCGGTCCATGGTATCCTCAGCATCCTTCTGTAGAAATTTCAACTGTCTCTTCCTGATGTTAAGTATAAGTTTCCTTTTTGTTTCCATTTTCTCCAAAACCTCGTCGGTCCACGGTATCCTCAGCATCCTTCTGTATAACCACATTTCTGTTGTTTCAAGTTTCTTCTTCATCTTTGAGGAGATTGTTCAGCATTCGCTGCCATGCAGGAGGACAGATATCATGTAAAAGTTCGTCTCGAGCTGTGCTGGTTAAACTCTCTGTGTCCGGGAAGAGAGGATCCACAGACGAAGTTATGTCGAAGGGTAGAGTCTCGTCTCGGGAAATACTCCTTCTCTTTGTTTCTATTCATATGGCAATAGAGATTAGGGCAACAGTCTGAACGATGTAAATAGTGTAAACAGTTACAATCTACCCCGGCGGACGAAATAAAGGGTTCAGTTCGAAATTCCAATCACCTGAAGAAGATTGAAGCGCACACGGCCGAAACGTCATGAATATGACAATAAAGATGAGAACAATCCGAATAATGTAAATAATAATTTCTGCTATATAGGAGGGTTAATATTACAAAGTTCGGTACTCATTTCATTTTGTCTGACGAGGTTTTCGTCTTTCTTGATACTTTGTTTAGCATTTCAAAGGCATCTTTTTTCTATCCCAATACGTCTTTGGATTTCGATGTCACATTTTCCGCCATCTGTTAAAACGCTTTCACTTGTCAATTTTTTTTCTTTTTACAGGAAAATGTCGTTACTCCCTTTACGATGTTGGATCTTCTAGATACAAATTCATCGACTGGACCTATACCCAGCTCCGTGAACAGGGCAAAGTACGACAATGGTGTGGTGGGCCCCTGGAGACCAGCGACAACTATAGGCTTAGCCAAAGAAAACGCTGGAACGGAGATTTGATCACCATGTACACTCCGTTGAGAGCCTGTCGAGTGAAACTAGAAAAATTCTGCCGGGACAGTATACCGCCTTGCAGTTATACAAATCGTGACGGAAAGCGATGGGCCGACAGTAACAAAGGCAGTGAATGTCTTCAGAATCTGACTATAGGCAATAATGTCCCCACTGGCATTCCAAATCAGGAGGGCGGCTTGACTTTCCTTTGCCAGCGATTTTCATCCGGTACTGTTTACGGTAAGATGTTCAACTCGAAAAGATCGCACTTTGCCACCCTCTACGATACAATGAGACGGATTCCCACTTACTCCGTGAGTAAGCTGTCAGTTATTGAAAACAAAGGCTGGCCCAGAACACCCTTCATGGTCGAAAGAAGTAAGTATGGCGCTGATTGTTCTAAAATGATTATTTATTGTTTGTTGGTGGGGTGATAAACATTGGGGTAACTGAATAAGAAATAGTTTCCTGTAAGAGCGATGAATATAATCACTTTTTTATTACTTATTTTTTTCTTTCTCTTCTTCTTACTTAGTTTTCATCATCTTTCTCCAATTTCTTCTTCTTCTTCTTCTACCACTACTATTTTTGTCTTTTTCTTCCTCTTTCCTTTTCTCTTCCTTGTCCTTCTTCAATCATTTCGCCTCTTGTTTTTCTTCTTCTTCTTCTTCTTCTTCTTCTTCTTCTTCTTCGTCTCCTTTTTCTTCTTCGGCATTCGACCTCTTTCTCAAATAATTCTTTTTTTTTCTTTTCTTTTCATTTATGTCAGAATTGATTTCTCTTTTCTTTTAATTCCCTTTCATTTATAAAACTTTGTCTTCTTTATCCAACATCTCCTTCTATCGTCTTTCTTTTCTCTTTCCTTTTCTCGTTTTGGTTCTCCTTCTAAAATCCTTTCACTTCTTCTTTTTCTTCTTCGTATTCTTCTACGTTTGTCGTTTTCTTCCTCTTTCCCATTCTTTTCCCTTTCCTCCTGCTTCAATCATTTCACCTTTTACCTTTTTTCTTCTTCTTCTTCTTCTTCTTCTTCTTCTTCTTCTACTACTACTACTACTACTGCTACTACTACTACTACTTTTGTCTTTTTCTTCCTTTTTCCTTTTCTCTTCCTTGTCCTTCTTCAATCATTTCACCTTTTCTTTTTCTTCTTCTTCTTCTTCTTCTACTACTACTACTACTACTTTTGCCTTTTTCTTCCTTTTTCCTTTTCTCTTTCTTGTCCTTCTTCAATCATTTCACCTTTTCTTCTTCTTCTTCTTCTACTACTACTACTACTACTACTACTACTTTTGCCTTTTCTTCCTTTTTCCTTTTCTCTTCCTTGTCCTTCTTCAATCATTTCACCTTTTCTTTTTCTTCTTCTTCTTCTTCTTCTTCTTCTACTAATACTACTACTACTACTTTTGTCTTTTTCTTCCTCTAATCTTTTCTCTTCCTTGTCCTTCTTAAATCATTTCACCTCCTCTTCTTTTTCTTCTTCTTCTTCTCCTCCTCCTCCTCCTCTACTATTTTATTTAGTTTCCTTTCCCTAATCTTTTTCTCTTACTCCGCTCATTTCATTTTCTTTTTTTGTTTCCTTTCTCTATTTGCTGTCATCGCCCTGTTTTTAAATACTTCTTAAAATTATTATTTCTTATTTTCTCTTAGGTTTTTTTTATTATTGCGATGTCTGCTGGAAATAAAAGAATATCACTGTCCCAATATAAACATTACCATATCCATGTTCATCGGAGAAAACATACACGAACATTTATAATTGTTCGAAAAGATGTTATCTCCATATTTACAGAACCAGTATACGGGAACAGTATGCTTAATCAGCGAACCAGGTGCACATTAAAAGATATGAAAAAGAGAACTGAATTAAGCTCTTACTTGAGAGCTAACTTGGTCGTACTTTGCGTCAAAGATGTAGTCTGGACATGAACGATAAGAGAAAATTGGAAAGCTGGTGTCGACTTGCAATGGTTTCGTAGAGATTGATACTAAATGGCGAGGTCACTTATATTTCGGACCTCTTGCCAGACTAACGCTTGACGCCTTTCTTATCTTTTGACTTGCATTAATTGACAATGCTATTGAGCTGATCTGAGCTGTATAATTTATTTGAAGTCATCACTCTCATTAATTTTTAAACTAAATCGTAAAATTTCATTTTCAAATTTCTTCTCTTTTCTATAATTGCTCTCCTCACCCCTCCCCAACTAAACTTACTGTGATCACAATTCACCCCTTAAAATCCAAAATTCACCCCCTGCGGGTGAAATTCACCCCTGCTGGGAAACCATCTTCTAAAACTTTTATGCGAGTCATATGATGAAAAAGAATCTACAGGTCTCATTCGAGAGAATAATTACAAATGAAAGGCAAAAGAAATTTGTATTTACCGGTAACTTTAATAGGGATATTCACTGTTTCCTTATAAGGAGGCATATCATTGACCGAGCAACCACTGTCTATTGAAATTCTTAAATTTTTCTTATTAAAACAAAAATAGGTTTCTTAAGTACAATAACAATTTTCGGTCTGATAGAAAATCAAGAATCTTTAAAATTTAATATTTTGTGGTGTCATGCCTTCTTCATCTGTACAATTTGTAATGAATGGTATCATTTTTATGCAAGAATGGTAAGTCAACCAGGGAAGAATTGGCGAGTTCATGCACATAAGAAAATATGGAATAGCCTGTATTACACGTTTTTCAAAGAATAGGTTTGTCCTATCATTCTCTAACAATAAACTCTCTTTTCATATGAATTGTAAACCTAAAAACGTCTCGTCCTGGATGACGATAAACTACGTCCGCGTCCTGGGTAAGACGATAAACTACATCCAAGAGCAAGGCTTCTGATCAGGAGGTTTTGAGGAGCGTGGAACCACCTCTTAATTTGCTGGTGTTCCCAGGTCCACCCTGACCCGGGGTGGTAGCACCTGTTAGGGTCCCCGCTATTGGTAAATAGTCAAAAAGTGTAAAAGTAGGTTTTAATACCATATATGTAAAAATTATTGCCACCTTATTAAAAAAAAAATATTACCAGCAATACATTTTTGAAAAAATATTACCAGCAATACATTTTGGGAAAAAAAATCTTGTTAGAATTAAATAACCCATTCAGTATTTATCGTTCCACCCACGAGGACCGAATATGGCACAAGGCCGATTTTAATGTGGGTATCCCCGAGCCCGTAGGCCCGGCCAAAAATATAGCCTTTGAACCCGCCTAGACGGGTTTCAGGCCCTGTCTACCCCCCCGAACGAAACCTTGCCCTTCGGCAAAGCCTCGTCTGGTTCCTCTCTGCTAACGCAGAGAGTTCGACAGGAAGGCGTGCGCAGTCAGAGACCGCTCAACACCATTCAGTATTTATCGTTCCACCCACGAGGACCGAATATGGCACAAGGCCGGTTTTAATGTGGGTTTCTCCGAGCCCGTAGGCTCGGCCAAAAAAATAGCCTTTTGAAGCCGATTAGACGGGTTCAGGCCCTGTCTACCTCCCCGGACGAAACCTTGCCCTTCGGCAAAGCCTCGCCCGGGTTCCTCTCTGCTAACGCAGAGAGTTCGACAGAAGGCGTGCGCAGTCAGAGACCGCTCAACACCATTCTAACACCATTAAATAACCCATTGAGGTTAGTAAGCCGTAAAACAAACCAAATCAAACCTAAAAATGTCCTTTGACGGATTGTTTGAAACGTTTTAGTTACAACAGAAGTAATAATGATTGAATTCATTTGAAAGACCTTGCAGTAATAACTTCTCAAATGTATTTTTTTTATTTTTTTATTTTCTTTTATTCTTTATTTATTTTTTGTTGTTTTTTTTTTTTTTTTTTGTTTCTTTTTTTTTAGACCTGATTGATAAGCAAACTCAGTCTTCTTGGTTCTACATGACCCAGACCCGAAAGAAGGGTCTCACTGCAGTATCCGAGCTGGAGAAAGAAATCCGCTATGACCAGTGCGCAATGGGTAAATACCAAGCCACACCCAGCGACTATGAGTACACCAGTTACCGTATTGGTCAACTTTTACCGCCTGAGCTTGTTGGCCATCGGGTGGACGACCAATTAGCCTCTTTTGCGATGACCAACACCGTCCCTATGCATAGGGACTTTTATGTTGAATGGAAGAGAGTTACCCAGATAATCTACAAATACGCCAAAGAAGTTTGCCGGGTACCGCAACCCCACGAAGCTTATGAAGCTGCTGCTGCTGCTGCAGCTCAGAAAGCCTTGGAAATAACCAGTACAACAGCACCTGCTTCGACAGCTGCCCCTTCTGCCATCACTACCGAAGCTGCTTCGACCAGTACTCCCTCTCCTTCGTCTGAGAGTTCTACTGAGTTTCCTTCCAGCGAGGTCCTCAACTACGGTCAGCTGTATCTAGTCGCCGGCGCCGTGCCTACGCTGGGTTACAAGAAGACGGTGGGCAACGGTGTTAATGTTCCACATCTTATATGGATGGGCGGCTGTTGTCTGCAGGGCAATGAAACCAAAGGGTTTGCCGTGTATGGCCAGAATTCGGCTCAGAGTTCAATGGGAGCTACTTCCTTGCCTCAGTTAGAGATTCTTCTTTCACAAGAGTACACAAAACACACCAAAAGATCACACCCATTCAAAATCAAGATTTTTCCTGGATTTCAAGGACGTTGCAGTAGTGCCCAGAATGACGATTCTTTGAATCTAACTCTCTGA